ATTCTATTCTATTCTATTCTATTCTATTCTATTCTATTCTATTCTATTCTTTAACTGAGTTGCACCCAATTTTACAGCTATTTTGCCACAGCATTTAAACCAGGGGTGTCAAACTCAAGGCCTGGTGGCCAGAGGTGCTTAGATCTGGCCTGTGGGGCTGCCCTAGAAACAGTGAAGGAGCGGCCAGTGGTGCCTCTGCCAGCAAAAATGGCACTCAGGAAGGCAGCACACAGTCTACCTGGGCTCCATTTTTGGCCATGATGGCCTCCTGTAGCCCTCTGTCAGTGAAAACGGAGCTCAGGAAGACCATGTGTGGTGCCCCCGAGCTCCATTTTCACTGGCAGAGGGCTGTTGTGGCCCTCAGTGAAATCAAGTTTGACACCCTTGGTTTAAACAAATCATTGGACTGCCCATCTGTCAGAAATGGTGTAGGATCTCCTGCTTGGGCAGGGGGTTGGACTAGATGACCTACAAGGTCCCTTCCAACTCTGAATTCCTGTTACCTGTTATCTGAATAGCAATGATCACATGATCTTGGAACTCTGCAACCATCATTAATATAATGGTTGCCAAGTTCCTGAATTTTGATCACGTGGCCGTAGGGATGTTTGCCATGGCCCTAAATACAAGACCTAGTCATAAGTCACTTGTTTTAGTGCCATTGTAATTTCAAGCCATTGCTGAAAGAATGGCTATATGTCGAGGACTACTATCTCCCCTCTTCCCCTTACTCACAGTGCTGTTGCAAAAATAAAATGAACCGAATGAAGAGGAAAAAACTTCACAGGTCAGCAACGTGTAATAACTTAAGGATTTGGGAAGTTTTGTTTGGTTTAATTTCTGCTTGTGGTGCAGTTATGAAAGGCCCAGGAAGAAAAATTAGTGAATGCCTTTATAAGGAGGAGTTTTCATATAAGGAGGAAAGATTTGGCACAAATCTCTGTTACACCGGTTACTTTTAAAACCAGCATTCTCTTCATGTGGTTTCTGAGAACGGCTTGCATTCCTCAGCTCTCTGACAGATGTTCTTGGAGCATGGGCAGAGTATAAAGCTGCCAAACAGAAGAAGGAAGACGCCCAGCTGAGGAAGCCGTGCCAAGCTCTGCTTACCCATGGGGTACATTTTTTTTTTTCATTTTTAGCACAGACACTCTATTTTACCAAGAGCTGCCCAACTGACAGGCACCCAAAAGAGAACTCAGGGCAGGGCAATCTGAGCTTTTATTTTGGAGAAACCTGTCAGTTTTTGGAAGAGTCCCGAGATGCAGATTTCACGCATCTCGTGCTCATTTGTTGTGGGGGGGGGGGGGGGAAGAGTTGCTGGATTCAAGAAGAAAGTAAAAGAAAATGACTGCATCGGAAGATCTGGAGCAAACAGGCTTGCATCGATGCATTTAAATTCAGAGCGAAGTCAACCCAGATCGAATTGTAGAAGCTTCTTGGATGAGAAGCAAAACGTTTTCCAAGGGGAAAAAAAAACTATTTTGAAAAGTACTTTTGAGACAAGGTCAGAGCTGCTGCTGGCGCAAAACACTGAAATGCACAAAGGCAAAGGGGATTTTGGATAAGGCAAAGCAGCCTTAGCATTTAAGGCTTCTGAACTCTGAGTGGATGTCTTTGCTCCCCCGAAAACAGCAAAAAGGGGACAAAGATGGAGAATTTACTCCAAATCTCCAGTGATTGACCTTGATCTAAAGTTCTAAACTCTTCCCATTTCAGCTTATAATGAGTGTGGAAGAGCCGTGGAGACGCGCTTCGGAAAAGTTTTTCTTTTCCAAAATTCTTCTACCTTAAAAGACCACTATTCTGGACACATGACGCACCCAGGAAGAAAGCACTGTGCTTTCAGGAAAAAGAGCAATTCAGCGATACATTCTTATCGCAAATCAATCCTTTCGTTTTGCTTACGTCAGCCCAAATCAGTGTAACTTCTCATGACTTCATCAGTAGGTTGTGAGAACAGAACAGAATAACAGAATAGAATAACAGAGTTGGAAGGGACCTTGGAGGTCTTCTAGTCCAACCCCCTACATGATGGAAGATGGAAAACAGTTGAGATGGTTGTAGAGGAGAGGGCAAAACAGGAGTTGAGGACGGCAAAGCAAGATTTCTTTGTCCTCCCTCCTCATCCCAACCTAGGCTCCCCATATCTGGCATGGAAAACAGTCCAGGGCAGAGGGGACCCTTGAACCCTTGATGATGAGCTTGCAGGAAAAGCCAATTCCCTTCTCCTGTTCCCCCCCCCCCCCCCCCCAAAGGATTGTGCCTGCCCAACAGAACCAAAAGAGACTTACTTCGGACAGCTGCACGGTAGAAGCCGCACTGGGGATTTCCTTCTGCAGAGATATCTTAAATCATGCAACAGCCTCCGTCTTCGGTCCGGTGTGAGCAATCTGCAGGGAGGGCAACGTGTGGGCAAAACGCACACATGAACTCAGCTTGGGGCCCAGCCTTGTTATGGGAGGGAAGACTGACGAAATGGGAGGGTGCTTCTACCCTGCAGGGCATCAAACAGGTTCCTACATCCCAGGCACAGGAGAGAGAGAGAGAGAGAGAGAGAGTGTTCTCCCTCCCTCTCTGCTTCAGCCAGGAATGGCCTCTCCCTTCCACATTCTTTGAATTCTCTGCCCTGTGTCACTGGAGATGTCCTGGGCCAGAGGAGAAAAGCAAGCAAGTGTGGTGGCTGGGGTTTTGGCTGCAGGCAAGGCTGACAGGTGAGGCTATTAGGGATGCAAGAAGCAGCCAGTCTGCCCCCAGCATCTAACTTGCGCAGAAAAGCCACTTCTCACCTCTTGCCTAGTGTAGCACAATCGCCCAACGATGGAGACTATTGCCGTGCCAAACATTCCTCTGTATTGTCAGCCTGCCAGCTGCCCTTCGGTTCGTTGAAAACAGATTGGTTTTGGAGATGTCCTGCAAAGGAGGATTAAAGATTAACAGAGTTGGAAGGGACCTTGTCATCTAGTCCAACCCCCTGCCCAAGCAGGAGGCCTTACACCATTTCTGACCGATGGCAGTCCAGTCTCTTCTTGAAGTCTCCATTGATGAAGCTCCCACAATTTCCGAAGGCAACTTCTGTTCCATGGGTTGATTGCTCTCCCTGTCAGAAAATGTCTCCTTATTTCCAGGTTGAATCTCTCCTTATTCAACTCTCCATCCATTATTCCTTGTCTGGCCTACAGGTGCTTTAGAAAATAGCTTGACCCCTTCCTCCTCTCTGTGGCAGCCCCTCAAATATTGGAAGACTGCTATCCTTCTCTTCCCTAGACTAGCCATGCCCAGTTCCTGCAACCTCTCATCATATGTTTTATCCTCCAGTCCCCTAATCCTCCTGGTTGCTCTTCTCTGCACTCACAATACCAATAGCATTTAGACATATACCACTCCATCGTGCTTTAATAGAATAACAAAATAACAAGAGTTGGAAGGGATCTTGTAGGTCATCTAGTCTAAGCAGGAGACCCTACACCATTTCTGACAAATGGCAAATCTTGCCTTGACTAGATTTTGTCTGAAACGGTCTAGGGTCTCTTGCTTGAGCAGGGGGTGGACTAGATGATCTACAAGATCCCTTCTACCTCTATCGATCTAACAGATTACAAATATCCAAAGCTGTGTGTGAATAACATCCCAGCATTTCCTTCTAGCCATCTCATCAGTGTTCAGCCCTGTGTTCTCTGGCTTCCCTTGAGATCCTGAGCAAAGATTAATATCAATTTTTCTCCTAGGGGATTTCAATTCAGAAAGTGCAACAAAAAGATCTGAAGGCAACGGAAGAGGATGGCAGAAGTACCCTACGCCAGATCCAAGAATCAAGAAATCCCCCCAAATAGTAGCAAGAGTAACATATAAAATAATTTCAACTGTTCTGAGAATAAAGAATACTTTTTCCCCCTTTCCACAAAAGTAAAGATTTGAAAATCACAAGGCAGATTTTTTTGGCCCATCACAATGCGATATATGATTGCTTTTTTGTTTGGATTTTGCCCTCTCATAATTATTTTGTAGTTATTTTGTACGTGCTGTGCTCCACTTTTTTTTTTTTTTTCTGTTCTGCTATTGTTCTGAGACAATCCAGAGTTGGTTGAAATCAGGCGGCAACTAAACTGCATGAATGAATAACTGAGTGAACGAATACTTAAATGAATGAATGAATGAATGAATATTAATCTCCCAGTTATCTAAATACCTTAAACTTTACAATAGGAATAAACACCACACTATTCGTCCTCCAAACAAGGGGCATAATTTTGAAAGCCAAGTCAACCCAACTATTCCATGAAAGAAAATCAAATGGGTTTTTATATGCCCTTCCAATGGATTCATCATCCTATTAAATGAGAGTGGAAGAGACAATATAATCCTCTGTCCAAGGTTAATAGTAAACCCAATAAAAGTTCAGGCAAAATTTCATGATTTCATCCAAAGCTTGAGCTTCATTATATGTGTTTTTTAACACTGAACTCCACTGAATTTTAAAGTTATCCAGATGTAGACTTTGTTTCATTTATACAAAATACCATACAGTAGGTCAAAAAAGAATAATAGTTTTATAAGCATATTAGAAATTAATATATACATCCTTGAATAATATTTACATTCGGTAAGTCTATATAGAATTATGACTGGTAGCTATTGAACGAATATATTCTGCTTCTTCTTTTTTTCTTTGTATATTTTCAGTTTTTAAAGCAGTTTTTATATATTGCTTTTTTTCTTTGAGAAGATATGCATTTGTATTATAATTATCTTTTGTTTTTTTACTTTTTCTGTTATTTTAAAAGCAATAGTTATCTAGTGTGGAAATGTTTTGATGCTTAACCCTAAAATGAAACAGAGTGAGAGAGTTTACTCAGACTTTTTCCTTGGCTGGGGAGGGTGAGTGGTAATTGACATTCTGAGATACTTTTTTCTCGGAATGAAAATTCTCTGGCCTGAAATGATGCCAGCAAATGCCGATGCTTTTAAAATGACATCAATCTATTCCGCATTTCAGAATCTTTCAACACCCGTGAAGATTTCACCAGGAGAACTGTGCAATGTCTTTCACCAGCTTTAATACATCCCTTAAGTCTGCTCAGCGTTGTGACACCTCCGCAGGATTACGGATAAACTCTGCGTTAGTCACTGGAAAGGCTACAGGCATTTTTTTTTTAAATTCCAAATTTGTTAGCTTCTTCCTAATGTCATTAAGGCCAAAGGGCGAAACAAATCAAAGCACATCAGTTTTGCTATTTTAATTTCAAACATTGGGAAAGCTTGCAACTTCACCAGTTTGCAAGTCTTGTCAAGGTGTCCCTTTGCACACACCCATATCGCAAATAAGATTTTAAAGGAGCGAAGAAAGGCATGAGATAGGATGAGCTAAGAATGTGCCATTTGACTGCATTAGGAACTCAAGGAAACATTACAGTGGTTAGACGGCTTGCCTACCTTTGCCATCTTTTGCCAAACATATACAGGTAGCCCTGGCCTATCTTGTTAGGTTGCCTTAAGAATTATAAGGCTACGCACATGGAATGCATTAGGCATTCAAAGAATAATATGCATGTATTATGCAAGGAATGCATTGGCCACAGCAGTGCGGTGTTGCTCACAATTCTCCGTTCCATTTCTGGGTGGGAAAAACCCAGGAGGGTAACTTCTCTGCATTTCTCCAGGGGAAGGAGACATTCTCCAGTTAATTTCCTCAAGGGCAAACCTGCCTGCAGCGTGGCTCCTCAAAATGTTCCTTTAGAAGAAGAGGCCCTCTTGTTGTAGGAAGCACCAGAAGTCAAAAGAAGCTTGCAGGCTACAGAGATATGGTTGCATGAAGATGGGAGGTTTTCATACATCCCTTGGTTGTTTTTGCCTTAATACCACTCTCATCAGCGGTAACCAGCACCAGCAATTCAAGATGCTGGTTATCATCGATATCAGGCAGGTTAATTCTCTGCTTGCTTTTGCTCATCCCATTAGATCCAGAAGAATAGCAGAGTTGGAAGTGTTCTTGAAGGTCTTCTAGGCCTCGCTCAGGCAGGAAACTCTTTATCACTTCAGACAAATGATTGTCCAATCGCTTCTTGAGAATCCACAACTTCTGGAGGCAAGCCATTCCACCGACCGTTCTCACTGTCAAGAAATTTCTCCTTAGTTCTAGGTTGGATCTCTGGTTGATATGTTCCCATCCATTACTTATTGTCCCGCCTTCAGAGGCTTTGAAGAATAGATTGCCCCTCCCTTCTTGGTAGCAGTGTCAGCATTCCAGCAAACCTCCGTTCCAGTCAATAACTCCAAGACAAGCATCATTTCAAAAGTACCTTTGTTAGAATAGCACCTGGCACACCTGTGAAATCTCAGAACTAAATTCCCCCGGAACTTTCCACAGTGTCCCAAACTACAACCCATCCCCTTTTCCCTCATCATCACATCACATGAACCAATCCCAAAGTAAGTTCCTTTTTGTTCCTGCGCCACACTCCATGACCTTGAGCTAACAAAAGAATTCTAATTTGTCTACTTAGAGCTACTCAATTGAAATCAACCGCCTCCCACTTTCTCAAGCTATGTGGCACCGTTGAATAAGGTTTCCAAAGCTGACAGGCAGCCCCTCAAATATTGGAAGACTGCTATCATGTCACCCCTGGTTTTTTCTTCATCCTGATTGGTTGGGAGTCTTGGTCTGTGTTTATTGGTCTTGGAAGCTTCTTTTGTCTTCTTGTGCTTCCTACACCAAGAGGGCCTCTTCTTCTAAAGGAACATTTTGAGTAGCCACGCTGCAGGCAGGTTTGCCCTTGAGGGAATTAACTGGAGAATGTCTCCTTCCCCTGGAGAAATGCAGAGAAGTTACCCTCCTGGGTTTTTCCCACCCAGAAATGGAACAGAGAATTGTGAGCAACACTGCACTGCTGTGGCCAATGCATTCCTTACATAATACAGCTGTGACGTGCATGCATGCACAGTGAGGTAAGTTTTCCTGCAGCTCGCATGCTTGCACAAATGGCTCTGTGTGCCACCTGTGGCAAGCGTGCCATAGGTTCGCCATCATGGTTCTAGGAGAAGGGAAACTCTTGATTTCAAACCTCCACTGCTTTGTGGCTATAATTATTCTTGGGAAAGGCTTCAGAAGTTCAACCTCGAGGCAAAATCCAGAGCCGGAGTCCCAGAAGCAGTTCGTGACTGTGTACAATCACGTTCTGGTAACTCCTGTGGCGCAACTGGAACTCTGCCATTCCATTAGACTGTTTCAGTGACATGGAGAGGGGGGGATCTGCCCAGGCCTCATGCTCTGGGGAGGACACTCCAGCTTTGCATACAGCATGGAAACAACACAGGAAGTGGCAGTTATCGGTTTCATAGCATGATACCATAGTCTCTGGAGACTGAAGAATGCCAATTCATTCAAAAGAATGGGAAACAGCAGGGGTGGGTGGACGAGGCCAGCCAGAGGTGGTATTTGCCGGTTCTCCAAACTGGTCAAAATTTCCATTATCGGTACGTCTGAACCGGTCCGAACCGACTG